GACCCACAGCCTGCCCCTGGCCACACACGGACCCACAGCTCAGTGTGGCCAGCCTCCAAGGCCAGGTCACAAGCCAGGGCAGGCCGTCCGCACAGCCCACCTCTGCCAGCAGCAGGACCACCACCCTCGGAAGGGAGAGTTAAGTCCCAGCATCTCACACTGTCCCCTTCTTAGATTTGTTCCCATCCGGAACAAGTGGGGGAGGGGGAGGGGGAGGGGAGGGGGAGGGGAGGGGGAGGGGGAGGGATAGAAACATCAATGATGAGAATCATGGGTCGGCTGCCTCCTGCACGCCCCCTACTAGGGATCGAGCTCGAAACCCAGACATGTGCCCTTGACTGGAATCCAACCTGGGACCCTTCAGTCCGCAGGCTGATGCTCTGTCCACTGAGCCACACCAGCCAGGGCCTGTCACTGCCTTTGAAAGTGGAACAAGAACCCTGGCCCATGTGGCTCCGTTGGTTGGGCGTCAACCCCGCCAATCAATGTTTCCCTCCCTTCCTCCCTCTAAGGAGTAAATTTTAAAAATTTGAAAAGAAAAAGAAATTCCTCTTTGCAAAACGGAACTTGCAGACATTTAGGAAGCAGCTGAGTGGAGTCCTGTCTGTCAGTGCCTCTCGCCGAACGACAGCCTCACTACCGGGGACCCCGCGGCGCTCCGCTCAGCAGCACAGAGGCCGGCGGCCCGGCTCCCCGCTGCCTCCTTCCCACGCTCAGTTGGCCGCGCAATGGCAGCAGCAGCACAAACGGCATCAGGGCCGAGCCTGCGCCCAGGGCGGCCGGCCGGCCGGTGGGGGAGCAGGAGGACGCGCCGCAAAGCGAGGCAACTCCGCTGCGTGGAGTCGGCCGGAGGCTCCCCTGCCCGCGCGGGAGGACCCGGTCGGATGACAGCCCCACTGCCGAGCGGGGTCCGGCCGGACCGCACAGTGGCCGTGAGTCCAGTGAGAACGAGGCGTCCTAGTCTCACAGCCTTTCCCTTCCCGGCGCCTCCGCACGTGAGCGACGTGTGAACACGGACGAGCTCCCGCGGGGGCGGCTGCCATCGGCCCTGGCGGGGACGGAGCTCCGGGGCCGAGAGGCGGCTGCGCGAGGGGCCGGTTCCCGTGGCTGTTCCTCTGCTGCTGCCCCTCCTCCCCACGGACCGTCCCCTCCGCTCCCATCCGGCCGCCCCTGGCGCCAGAGGCGCGCTCTGCCCTGGACGCCCCCAGGGCCGCCGGCCCCGCAGGACAGACTCCCGCTCACGTTCCCGCACGCGAGCTCGGTCCACGCCCCCAGCCACCACGTGGGGCCCACGCCGCCCGCTCACACTCCGCGGCGCCAGCTGTCACCTCCTCGGACGCTGGTTCCGGCTCCTGAGGCCGCTTCCCGGGCCGAGCTCCCGCCGCCGCGCCCGCGCACCCCGTGCCCCGCGCGCCCACCATGATCCGCGCGGGTCCCGCCACTTCCGGCAGCGACTCGGTCGCGTGGGCCTGGGGGCGGGGTCAGATGGCGCGGAAGGCCCGCCCCACGCGCTCTGATTGGTCAGGCGCAGCGCAGCCGGGATGCGCAGGCGCGCCGCGTGCGGGGCGGGGCCTGGGGACGTGCGGACGCAGAAAGGCGGCGCCGGCGTGGGGGCGCCAGTCGCAAGATGGCGGCGGCCATGCCAGGCCTGTGGGCCGTGTCTGCGCAGCGGGCGGCGGCGGCGGCGCGGCCCGGCCTACAGACGCGGCGGCGGCGCTAGCCCGGCCCCGGCCTCTCTTTGCGGTCGCTACTCCCGCCTCTCCCCGCCATGGATTTGCCCGTGGGCTCCGGCGCTGCGGGGCCCAGCAACGTCCCGGCCTTCCTGACCAAGCTGTGGACCCTCGTGAGCGACCCGGACACCGACGCGCTCATCTGCTGGAGCCCGGTGAGGGCGGGCGCGCCCCCGGGAGGCCAGGGCAGGCCCCGCCTCGGCCGCCGGGTGTGGGGACGGAGGGCCCGAGGGGGAAGGAGCGTCCGAGGCCTCCCGCCGGCTCCTGCCCGCGCCAAGTTCCCCTGGGCGGGGAGGGAGGAGGTGGGCCTGCCCTTCCCGGGCTCTGCTCCCGGCCGGACAGCTGCGGGGCGCGCCTGTGCCTCGACGGGCGCCCCGCGTCGCTAGTGGCAGTGGTGTCCCGGCGGCCTCTCCCCTGCGTTCCCGGCGGTGCGGTCGGCAGCCGCGCGGAAACCAGGATTCGCTCACGGAGCCGAGGGCGCTGCTCCGGCGCGGAAACGGAAAGTGAAAGGCCGGGAAGCCCGGTGGACGTGCAGACCGCGCCGGATAGCGAGCTGGTTCCCCAGATCAGCCTGGGTGTTCGTTCCCCCGGCGGCGTCTCGGTCCACGCCCCGCGCCCCGTTGCCTGGCAGCGGGCTTGTTGACAGGCGAGGCCTGAGCCTGCGGGACGGCCGCTCCGGCCTGGCCGCGGGGCCCGTCAGGGCTGTGTCTGCAGTTGGAGGCGAGAGCCGAGGCTGCTGTTCGCTCGCATCCTGGCTGCGCCGCCACGTCCAGCCGGGGCTCCGGTGCCTCCGAGCGCCCGGGCCGCTGAGGGCAGGCGGGTTCTTGGCTCCGTTAAGCCTCCCGCTCCTAGTCCTGAGCTCTTGGGGGAGGCGGGAAGGCTGGGCTGGAAGCAGCCCCCCCGAGCCAGGCTCTTGCCCTTGGGCCGGCTGGTGGCTGAAGCGCGGCCCTGCGGGAAGAGTGTTTGGAAATAAAGAGGCTAGAAGTCCCGCTGGAGACATTCCTGTTGGTCCCAGGGCAGTCGTCCTGCGGCGGGCGCCCCCTTCCCCAGGCCCGTTCCCACCCTTCCCTTGACCAGAGGAAATGGCCCCTGTTTCTGTTTTCCCTTCTTCTGCCTTCCTCCTCCTGCTCCTTCCTGAGCTCTCGGGGAACACTCTCCCCCAGTTCGGGGAGGGACATCTGAGCTTAATTCTACCAGGATGACTTGTCCTGCCCCTTAATCGGCTTGCTGTTTGCGCTTAAAGATTGTGAGGCGGCCCGGCCCGGGTGGCTCAGCGCCTGAGTGTCCACCTATGAACCAGGAGGTCACGGTTCGGTTTCCCTGTCAGGGCACATGTCCGGCTTGTAGGCTGGATCCCCGGTGTGGGGTGGCAGGAGGCAGCCGATCAATGATTCTCTCTCATTATCAATGTTTCTCTCTCCCTCTTTCTTCCTCTCTGAAATTAATAAAAACGTATTTTAAAAAAGGAAAGACTGTGAGGTCTGTAGGGGGAGCCCTGCCGGCATACTCCCAGGACCCGCAGTCTGTGTTCTGGGCAAAGCCTTTGAGTAGAAGAGTCCGATACGATCAGACCTGTGGCGGCCTCCACTCACGGTGCCCACAGCGGCCGTGAGCCCGGTTGGCAAGTTCTTCCCGGGACGAAGAACAGCTGGAGCCTGCGTGTCTGACCCAGTCTGTGTAGCCTAGGACCGTGGTCAGATGAGGCCGGGAGCACTCGAACAGTTGGAGGAGGCACTTCTTTTTACTTGGAGTACGAGGGCCTCCTGTACTGGGAGGCCCTGCTTAAATTTTGGCCCTGGTGTCTCGGGGCCTCACTGTAGTCCCCGCCTGGTCAGTGCCGTTCTCTTCTCGCTGCGAGTAGGAATGACCCTAACGGTTGTGTGTGGCTGGGAGAAGTCCCAGAGACCTGGTGACTGGAGGTCCCCAAGTCCGGGTCCGTCCCACGTGGCCTGTGTCAGAGGCCACCAGTGGTCAGAGGGTCACTCGAGGGGCTGGTCTCTGGTTGGAGAGTCTGGAGCAGAGCAGTCCCTGCAGTTAGGTCACCAGCTCCCCATGAGACCACTCCATGAATTGGCCTGGTCACACCTGGGCACTCGGCTGGCCGTGGACTGTTTTCAGAGCTCCCATGGCAGATAGGCCCACCCGCCTCCCTGGCTCAGCCTGCCGTGGCCCGAAAGCCTGCCAAGCCCATTCTCAGACAACCGGCAGGACCCAACAGGTCCTTGTGGGCCTCGCCCTTGGTGAAAAATGCTGCAGGGGTGCCCCAGGTCACAGCACTCCAGGAGCAGAATGTGAGGTGCCCTGCATGGCTGGAGGCTCTCGGTGCCTCCCGGAGCCAGGGTGGCTGCACCGATGACCACCGCTGGGTAGCACAGCTGTGCTTGTTGACTCCTGTGTATCAGCTGTGCTCCATCCACAGCCATGCGGGGAGGTGACAGATGGCCCTTTTGTAGAGAAGACTGAGTCTCAAAGACATCAAGAAACTTGAAGTAAGAGCTAGAGAATCGTTGAGCCAGTTCTGAAGTCGACGTTCTCTCTGCTGACATCCAGCCATTGATTGCTCTCTGCCTGCCTTTGCCAGGAACTCCAGGTCTTCCGACTGGAGACTGCCCGCTAAGGCCCACGGGGTGAAAGCTCTGGCCCCACTCCAGCTGCTTTCTTAGCCCCAGCCACACTTGGACTGACCACTCCTGCAGGGCTCACAGTCGGGTGCAGCCCTGCTCTTTAACAATGCATTGGACCTCCTGGTCACGCAATATGGCAGATAAACCAATGAAAGACATAAAGATTGGAAAGTAAGACATAAGACTCTCTCCATTCCTAGAAAACGTTGACATTTAGAGAGCGAGAAAGGGAATGGGAGAGAGAAGCATCCATGTGAGAGTGAAACGGATCTGCTGCCTCCTGCAGGCCCCCACCAGGGACCAAGCCTACCCAGAACCCTGACCAAGAATCAAACCGGCCACCCTTCAGTGCATGGGACACCACTCAACCAACTGAGCCACCATGGCCAAGGCACAGAGTTCATCCTTGTATTATTATTTATTAACTAGTGTCCCAGTGCAGAAATTAATTAGAAGAAATATTTTAACAATCACTCTTCACCTTTTCTCTGTAATAGAAGCGTCAACCAAATTCACGATGGACGGTGACAGATCGAAACACACCTGTGATTGGCGCATGCGCGAGTCACTTAGCCTTCGGACTGCCTATCCCCCGAGCAAATCTCTGAGTCGCTGCTTGGGGTGTTGGACAGGGCAGTAGCCTCTGTCTTCTCAGCTTGCCCCTCCTGGCATGGGTGCTTGTCCTACCTGCTAGCTGGGTGGGGGTGGTGGGAGCCCCAGTGTTCTCAGCTGCCATGCCTGCGTGAGAGCCTCCATCCCTGGATGGGAGCAACATGAAGGGGACCCCCAGCCTCTCGGTTGCTATCACCGGGCATTTCCCCTCTTCACCGGGAGCTGGGTCGGGTGAGAGGCGCTGTGCCTGCTCCCTCGTGAGCTGCGGTCGCCTTGGGTGGGGCCGGAGGGAGAGTAGTCCGTCGTCTTGGCTGTGCCCCTCCAAGCGTAGCATCAACCAAGGCACTGGGGTGGAAGGGGGAGTGGGTTGTGGCTCAAGTGCTGCAGACTCACTGTTCCTACAGAATTTTAGTAGATTTTCTTGAATAAATGTTTCTTCGTTTGTTACTCGCCTTTGGGACAGTTTCAGAGACCAGGGTATTGAGTGCGCGCTGCTTGCTTTACATGGAAGTGGTTCGGTGGTCGGCTCCCACTGCCCGGCCCGGAGTGGAACTCGCTCCTTCCCTTTCCACAGTTAGTCTTACTGAGCACAGCGCACACCCCAGGGACAGGGCGGCGAAGGGCCCGGAGAAAGCCCGGGGCGCCCAGGCGGGGCTGCTTGGTCGCTCGCTCGGGGAAGTCGGACTAAAGGGAGCCTTGGAGACAGGTTCCGAGGGTGCCCATTGCTCCCCGGGGTGCAGGTCTCGTGGGGTCACTTAGAGCTTCAGGGGTACATGCCTGTGGGGGAAGGAGAGGGAGAAGGGAACGGCAGGTGTGCTCCCTGGAGGGAGTGTGCCTCAGCACCGTTACTTGACCCGTGGCTTCTGCCCTCGTGGTTGCTGGCGGAAGCAGCTTCGTCGTGAGGAGTCTCCTCTCCTGCTGCTTTCCCGGTCCCCTTCATCTTTCGCTTCTGCAGTTTGCCTGTGGAGTGTCCAGGTGTGGATTTCTGCATTTACCCGTCTTGGGGTTCGTTTAGCTTACTGGATATTTTTCAGTTTGGGGGAGTTTGGGGCCATTATTTCTTCTTGATATCTCTACCCAGATCTTCCTTTTAAGTTTTCCCAATTGGTATCCACTGTCTTTTTTTTTTTTTTAATATGTTTTTATTGATTTCAGCGAGAAAGAGAGAAAAACACCAATGATGAGAGAGAATCAATGATTGGCTGCCCCCCGCACACCCCCCACTGGGGACTGAGCTTGCAACCCAGGCATGCCCCCCTGATCAGAATCGAACCTGGGACCCTTCAGTCTGTAGGCCGACGCTCCACCCACTGAGCCACACCAGCTAGGGCTATCCACTGTCTTAGGCAGCCAGAAGATATGAAACGTAGACATCTGTGCAGGCTGGTTTTGCTTAGTGGTTAGAGTGTCGGCCTGCGCACTAAAAGGGTCGCAGGTTCGATCCCTCCCCTCCCCCTACTTCCCTCTCTCCCTTCTACTCTCTCTGAAGATCAATGGGAAAAAATTCTCGGATGAGGATTAACAAAGTAAGAAAATTAGACATCCTAGAGAAAAGGCTTTTTATACTGGGAGAGCTGTGGGTCAAATCAAACAAACAGCAAAGCCAGCAAAGCTTATTTAAATAACTTAGTCCCTGGAGATTGTCCTAAGGCATCTAACAGAAGAAGATGTAACCTCGGCCGGTGTGCTGAGTGGGTTAAGTGTTGTGCCACGCACTGAAAGGTCGCCGGTTGATTCCCACTCGGGGCACATACCCAGGCCGCAGGTTCTATCTCCATTGGGGTGTGTGCAGGAGGCAACCAATATCAATGTTTCTCTCTCACATTGATATTTCCCCCTCCCCCTCCCTCTCCCCTTCCTCTCTCTCTAAAATCAATAAAAGTGTTAAAAAAGTAAGAAGAAGCCCTGACCGGTGTGGCTCAGTGGGTAGAGCGTCGGCCTTGGGACTGAAAGGTCCCAGGTTCGATTCCGGTCAAGGGCATGCACCTTGGTTGCGGGCACATCCCCAGTAAGAGGTGTGCAGGAGGCAGCTGATTGGTGTTTCTCTCTCATCGATGTTTCTAACTCTCTCCCTTCCTTTCCGTAAAAAAAACAATAAAATATATATTTTTAAAAAATTTAGAAAAAGAAAAGAAAATCTAAAAACGCTGCCCTGACTGGGTACCTCAGTTGATTGCAGCATCATCCCCTGCACCAAAGGGTTGTAGATTTGAGTCCCGGTTCAGGCATATGCCTGGGTTTTGGGTTCAATCCCTGGTCAGGGCGCATATGGGAGGCAACATATCAATGTTTCTCATCAATTTTTCTCTCTTTCTCTCTCTCCTCTTCCTCTCTCTCTAAAATAAAAAAAAGTGAAAAGTGCTCCAGGCCTAGACTAATGTTGCAGGGACCATCCGGGCCTTCCCTCATCTCCTTAACCCTCTCCCCCTCCCCCGGGGTGGGGAGCGCTCCCTGCATGTCACTACAGGCACGGTCGCGTGTCACCCTGCGCCGTCACAGGGCCTGCCTGACCCCTCGTGGAAGGACATGGAGAAGCGGGTCGTGCAGGGGCTTTGTACAGCCTGTTTCTCAACTCAGATGCCCAGAGGAAGAGGAAGTTGCGTTTCTGAGCACAGCTTTCCTCCAGAGTCACTGGAATTAGGGACCCATTTGCCTTAGATGGGGTCTCAGCTCTTCTCAGGTGCTTGCTGAGCTAAAGCGGATTCCCCTAGGGCCGTGGTCGGCAAACTGCGAGCCACATGCGGCTGTTTGGCCCCTTGAGTGTGGCTCTTCCTAAGCCTTAGGAGAACCCTAATTAAGTTAATAACAATGTACCTATCTATACAGTTTAAGTTTAAAAAATTTGGCTCTCAAAAGAAATTTCAATCGTTGTACTGTTGATATTTGGCTCTGTTGACTAAGTTTGCTGACCACTGCCCTAGAGAATGGGCCTGCAGTGCTGTGGTGCTTCCTGGAGTGGCCTTGGGGAAGCTTTAGGACCCTGGGCGGGGCACCCTGACTGCGATGAGGTCCCCATCTCTCAGGCGAGCGGCTCCCGTGGCCTCCGCCCCACAGGAGGGAGTGCGGCTGCCTGCTGCTCGCGGAGGCCCTGTGCCCTCACCTGCTGCGCTTGACTCGCCTGCGTGTCTCCTGGCAGAGTGGGAACAGCTTCCACGTGTATGACCAGGGCCAGTTTGCCAAGGAGGTGCTGCCCAAGTACTTCAAGCACAACAACATGGCCAGCTTCGTGCGGCAGCTCAACATGTGTGAGTGCCCGCCCGCCACGGGGGGGGGGGGGGGGGGGCGCCAGCAGTGACCCTGCCTGTGGTGAGGGTGGAGCCACCGGGTTCCGGTCCCTTTTCTCCAGGGTGTGGCATGGAGCCAGCACACCTGGGGGCAAGCAGTCCTCATGAGCCTGAACCTGAGGTCCAGAGGCCATGTCTCTGTGGGGGCTCAGGCCAGACTGCCCAGCCACTGCGGGCAGGAACTCTGAGATGGGGGGGGGGGGGGGTCTGGTCCCAGTCTTAAGGCAGAGCTGCCCGTGTCCCGTCGTGTGCAGATGGCTTCCGGAAGGTGGTGCACATCGAGCAGGGCGGCTTGGTCAAGCCGGAGCGGGACGACACCGAGTTCCAGCACCCCTGCTTCCTGCGCGGCCAGGAGCAGCTCCTCGAGAACATCAAGAGGAAGGTGACCAGCGTAAGTAGCGGCCTCCCTGTCCCCACACCCTCTGACCTCCCTCCGGCGGTGGGGTTGCCACATCCACTTGGTGCCCTGCTGGCCTGGCCTGGCTGCTCCAAGCCCTCTTCCTGATGGCCCCCTCCGCTTGTCCGCATGGACCCCCGCCTGTGCCGCACCAGCTGCTGCAGAGAAGGCCGATCTCAAGGCTGCAGCCCCTGGCCCTTTCCCCGTGTCCAGACCCCCCGATTCTGTGGGGCCCATCACAGTGACCCTCCTGTGGGGACCCAGGTGTCCACCCTGAAGAGTGAGGACATGAAGATTCACCAGGACAGTGTCACCAAGCTGCTGACCGACGTGCAGCTGATGAAGGGGAAGCAGGAGAGCATGGACTCCAAGCTCCTGGCCATGAAGCAGTAGGTCCCACGGGGAGCGGGCGGCAGGTGGGGCAGACAAGGGTGCAGGAGGTGTGGCAGGTGCGCTCGGGCCTTTTGCTCCCCAGAGTTAGGTTTTTTTCTTGCACGCCCTCGAGGCGCCTGCCAGGCCATCCTCCTTCCCCGGGAGGTGGGGTCTGACCACTCCTGCAGCAGCATGCGGAGCTGGGCTCCTCACAGCACTGGCCCCATTCTCCGCCTGCTCACACCAGCCCTCCAGGCCCTCCCCGCAGACCAGGGTGGCCAGGCCCCTCCTGCTGGCTCCCACTGTCCCTGGCATCACTCAGCATAGACGTCCCCTCTCCTGCCTTCCCCACCTTAGGCCTGGGGAGCAGGGAGCAGGTACTTTCTGGAATCCCTGTCCCTGGCTCATGTCTGGTGACCACATAACAGCCCTGTGCTACCCCCTCACCCGAGACCCTCAGAAATGCCTGCTTGGGTGTCCTCCCATGCCCGTGAGGGCCCTGGGGACCTCAGGAACCCCAGCCAGGGTGGTGTCCTCGGCTCAGGGTCACCTCAAAGCTGCTCAGGGGGGCAGGTGCTGGTGCTCTTGTGACCCCTGTGTCATAGAGGTGGCTCCTGGGCTCTGACTCTTCACATTGGGGGCCAGATGAGCATGGCCTTCAGTCAGGGCACCTCTAGGTGAGGCCAAGAGGGTCCACTCTATCAAGAAAACATGCGGGGGGCCGGGGGGGGGCGGGGGCAGGGCTGGCCCAGCAGAGGGCAGACCTGCTCATAACCCTGCTCACCTGTTGGGAGGGTGGGCTCGCCTGGCTCTTCCCACTCCCTGGGCCACCTCTGAGCTACACTCAGGTTCTGAGCCCTGGAAAGGTAACAGATCAACCCTATATGCTGCTCTGCAGCCTGAAGAGCTGGGCTACCACTGTCCCTCTGGCCTGCCTTCCTGTCCTCAGGCTGGGCTAAGGTTGAGGGTGGGGGAGGCCTTCAAGGGTCAGCCAGCTCACCTGGCCAAGAAGGCCCCCAGTAGGTCTCAGCAGGATTCTGGGGTGCAGACAACACTCCGCCTGCATCTGACCTCAGCCTCCAGCTGATCCCCTCCCCCCACCTGACTCTGAGCATCCCTCCCTTGAGGTGCAAGTGAGCAAGGAGGGGGATAGTGGCAGCAAGGTCTGGCCTGCCCGGGTCACATTCCATGGCCCATCCTTGTCCGTAGTGGAGAGACAAGCTAGCGATGTGTGGTCACCAACAGCCCTGCACCTGCCCGGGTGGGGGTGGAGTGTCTGTGGAGCCCTTCAATCTGGGGCTCCTGGGACCTGGCCCCACTGACTGCACCTGGTCTGTTGCAGTGAAAACGAGGCCCTGTGGCGGGAGGTGGCCAGCCTGCGGCAGAAGCACGCCCAGCAGCAGAAAGTCGTCAACAAGGTACACGGTGGGCCTGCAGGGCACCTGCTGTCAACCTCCTCGGCTGGGCTAACTGTGCACCTCCCCCCACCCCCACAGCTTATCCAGTTCCTCATCTCGCTGGTGCAGTCGAACCGGATCCTGGGGGTGAAAAGAAAGATGTGAGGCGCTGCGGGTGCCCGTCTCTCAGCACTGGGTCCTGGGTGCCACCGGGGCCAGGAGGCAGCTAACCCACCCTTCCCCGCAGCCCCCTGATGCTGAACGACAGTGGCTCAGCACATTCCTTGCCCAAGTACAGCCGGCAGTACTCCCTGGAGCCCATCCACGGTTCCGGTCCCTACTCGGTGAGCTCTGGGCACAGCTGGCCTGGCGGGGACAGTGCTGCCTGGGCACAAGCCACATGTGTCCCGTCCTTTGATGGCAGGCTCCGTCCCCGGCCTACAGCAGCTCCAGCCTCTACTCCCCAGATGCCGTTTCCAGCTCCGGACCCATCATCTCCGACATCACCGAGCTGACTCCCAGTAGCCCCGTGGCCTCTCCCGGCAGGAGCATAGATGAGCGGTGGGGACCGTGCCACCTCCCTTGTGGTCTGAAGAGGGCTGGGGCCACAGAGGTGCCTGCTGACGCCTGTGCCCCCACCCGCAGGCCCCTGTCGAGCAGCCCCTTGGTGCACGTCAAGGAGGAGCCTCCCAGTCCTCCTCGGAGCCCCCCGGTGGAGGAAGCGAGTCCTGGGCGCCAGTCCTCCATTGTGGACACCCCCCTGTCCCCAACTGCCCTCATTGACTCCATTCTGCGGGAGAGTGAGCCTGCCCCAGCTGCCTCAGCCACAACCCTCCCAGATGTGGGGGGCCGGCCCCCCTCAACCCCGCCCACCTCGGCCCCTGAGAAGTGCCTCAGCGTAGCCTGCCTGGACAAGTGAGTGCTGCCCTCCACTTCCCTCCCCCCGGACGTGCCTGGGGCTTCTGGCTAGGACTGTCCTGGAGGGCTGGGCACAGGGCTGCAGACATGGTCTTCAGCTCCGAGTTTGGGATTGGGGAGGGAGCTGGAGACCAGCCTGGCTCCCACAGCCTTGTCACTCAGGAGCCGAGGATGGTGGCCTGTTGCACCTGCTCTCTGGGCCACCCTGGCTTCAGCTGTCAGTCACCTGGTCCTGCTGCCCAGCAGAGGCCCTGCCACCAGAGCCAGGCACGTGGGCGGGGGCACGCGCCCTCTGGGCCCGGCTGCAATGGGGCTCTTGTCTTTATATCTTGCAGTTTGGCTCGCACTCCACAGATGTCTGGGGTCGCCCGCCTCTTCCCCTACCCCTCCTCCTCTCTGCATGGCCGATTCCAGCCAGGGTTAGCGACGTCCCCACTGGGGAGGGAGGAGGCTCTTCCAGAGCTCGGGCCCCTCCCCAGCTGAGGACCACTTGGCTGAGCCTGGTGAACAGTATCCCAGGCCGCCTGCAGGGCCCAAGCCTGTTCCCCAAATCACTGGCCGACAGCGAGGGGCCTTCCGGGCAAGCCCGGCTACTAGTCTGTCCAGGTCCCTGCTACTGTGCAAACTGGCTTTCTCTCAGGCGGGCTGGCCACTCCTGGGTCCTCGGTGCGCCCCATGGCCCGGACGTTCTAGGTCACAGCCGCCAGACCTGGGTCTTTCCCACCCGCACGAGGGAAGCCTGGCCCACCTCACACTGAGCACAGCCTTCCCCTCCCTACTGTGTTCCATGCAAAGGCAAGACTTCCAGCCTGAACAGCTGCCCTCGGGCTGCTCAAGGCCTGAACCCTCCTGGCCCAGCCTCATGCTGTTGGAGGCCGGCAGGGGCGGGCCAGCCCGTGTGGCCCAAGCCACTCTTCCCCCCAGTTGCCAGGCACCCAGGCCCTGTCCACACACTGCTGCTCTGGCCCCAGGCAGGGGTGGGTGTGGCTGAGGGGAGCCCTCTGGCAGGGGGGTGTGGCTGAGGGTGAAGGCACTGGAGTGATGCCTCAGCTGCCCCCTCACCCGGCCAGGGCTGAGCTCAGTGAGCACTTGGATGCCATGGACTCCAACCTGGACAACCTGCAGACCATGCTGAGCAGCCACGGCTTCAGTGTGGACACCAGTGCCCTGCTGGACGTGAGTCCCACCTCACCCACCTGCCGCTACCCACCCTGCTCGCAGGCCCAGCCTGACTCTCTTCCTCTCTCCCAGCTGTTCAGCCCCTCGGTGACAGTGCCAGACATGAACCTGCCGGACCTGGACAGCAGCCTGGCCAGTGTGTGTAGAGTGGGGGTGGGGTGGGGGGAGGTGACGAGGGTGGGGGAGCAGGAACCCTCAAAACCCTCCTGCCCCAGCAGATCCAGGAGCTCCTTTCTCCCCAGGATCCCCCCAGGCCTCTCGAGGCAGAGAATAGCAGCCCCGACTCAGGTGAGCAAGCCCACCTGCACCCCTCCCGTCCCCTCCCGTCCCCTCCCACCAGCATCCTAACCGTGCCCCCCATCCCCACCCCCAGGAAAGCAGCTGGTGCACTACACAGCACAGCCCCTGCTCCTGATGGACCCCGGCCCCATGGACGTGGGGAGCAGCGACCTGCCTGTGCTCTTCGAGCTGGGGGAGGGCTCCTACTTCTCAGAGGGGGACGACTATGCAGACGACCCCACCATCTCCCTGCTGACGGGCTCTGAGCCCCCCAAAGCCAAGGACCCCACTGTCTCCTAAAGGGTTCAGGAGGGCCAGCTGGTCTCCGTCAGCAGTGAGGCCCAGCCCCGCATGCCATGGCTTGCTTGGGGCTTCACAGCCACGCCGAACTGACCAATACTGTGGCTTTCACAAAGTGTATTTTGGTTTTTACATGAGTCCCCTTCCCCCTTCATAGAAATAAACATACAGGTATATATGTAGATGGCCGTGGATGGACAAGACGAGCTCTACACTGGCCTGTGGCCACTTCCTCCCAGGGGCCAGGAGGATGCCCAGCACACCCGCTCTAGGGCCTGCAGGACCCCTGCCCCGCCTCCCACCAGGAGCCCCTGGGGATGTGGCTTGTCTGCTCAGCAGAGCCTTCTGGGTGCGGGGCCTGCTCTGGGAGAAGAGGGTCTGGCTCCTGTGCTGTCAGCCAAGGGGTGGGGGAGGCACAGTCCACCCTACAGCGCCCAGGAGCTTCCCCAGTGCTCACCATCCTCCGTGGGCAGGGACAGGAGGCACTGCCCCAGCAGGCCCCGCCCCTAAGGCCCAAGGGAGAGGACTTGGGTAGAGTGGGCTCTTGTTGGGCATCTCAGGTGCTCCCTGTGGGGCCCAGCTGCCAATCGGCACACCTGACCTGGCACAGCCCCAGGCTCTTCTATCCTGAGCCAGATCCAGTAAGGTAAGGTGGGAACAGGCCCAGGCTGCCTCCCACCTGGCAGGTAGGAGGGTCTGGGCAGTGTCCTGATGCTACACCATGGGGACAGCCCAGCCCAAGGCCAGGAGAGCAGGGGGGGAAGAGCTGTTCCGCTCGGGTCATGCAGACATTGCTCCTGAGGCAGGTGCCCCTGCCCCCATGGGTACATCACCACCAAGGGGGAGACCCCAGGCAAGGATTGGCGCCAATACTTGACCCCCTCCAGGCCCGGCCCCAAGCCCAGCTCCACTTCTAGGAGAATTGGGCACCCACTTCTGAGCCACGTCCCACACATGTTAATGGGCATCTGGGCAGAGAGTCTGGACACAGCAGACCTCAGGCAATGAGAGTTGCCACCCATGATGTCAGGTGCAATCTGCCCAGCCCCTCTGGCCCCCACCCTGAGGGCATTGTCCTCCCAGCGAATGGACCCTAGGGACCCAGTCCCCCATCCCAAGAGCACAGACTGAGGCCCTCTGAGTCGCTGAGCAGTTGCCCCCACAGCCAGCGCTGTTGGATCAGGTGGTGAGACCATACCCAGCGCCCTCAGCAGGCCGAGCTTACGCTGGACAGTACTTTATTGACACCCTCGGACCCTGGGTAGGGTCAGCACAGGTCCTTGAGGCACTGGCCTGTGCTGCTGCTCCCATTCCTGAGGGGCAGGAGCCCCATAGGGGCAGAGAGGCCTCCCAGGGCCAGAAGGAGGCCATGGGCAGTGAGGCAGGCGAGGTGGCAGTGAGGAGTGTGGGCAGCAGCTCAGGCCTCTGCCGCCAGGGCCTCGTGGTGCAGCACGTAGTAGTCGTGGACGTACATGAGCACCGCCACTGGCTGCCCGATGATGAGCGACAGCCACACGGCTGCATTGCCATAGTTGCCACGGAAGAAACGGCTCACTATCCAGGCCAGCGGGATCTGGGGACGATACACAGCTGACTGTGGTAACCGCGGGCTGGCTGCCCCGGGCACATAACGGCAGGCGAAGAGGCCTTGGTGCTCACCTGAGCCATCATGCCGGTGAAAGCCCAGAGACGGAACATGCGCAGAGGGATGCTCACCAGGTACTGGGTGAGGGGAGAGAGGGCTGTCAGCTGGCTCCTCGGGGCCACAGCACCCCAGTTCCGGGCCCACAGCAGGGTGCCCACAAAGCACTGACCTCATGGAAGAAGGCCGAGGCCAGGAACACCCCGGTCCTGGCAACCCACTTGCTGTAGCCACGCCGGACCATTGGCTTGTAGAAGTGTCTGTGGGAGGAGGCGGCCGTGGGCAGGTGCCCAGGTCCATTCGAGGGCCTCCCACCACCCACCACACACCCACCTGAGACACCACTTGTGCACAGGGATGTTCCAGTTCTGCCAGAAGTAGGTGACGGACTCAGAGTTCCTGGGGTAAGAAACCATGATCAGAAGGCACCATGACCAGCCCTGGCCCCAGCCCCAGCCCCAGCCCCCACTGAGGTCACCCACCACCAGTCCCGGTAGAACTCGCGGTCCCCAAACTGCATGAGTTCAGCCACAGCATTCAGGCAGGAGTGGAAGAGCCAGTAGAAGAAGATGAGCCAGATGAGGTGGTTGGGGACCTGGGGGACAGGTGGTGTCAGGTTTCAGAACCCCCACCCCTCAGTGCCCCCGCCCCGCCCCCTGCCCAAGCCCAGCCTGCTCACCGCCAGCTTCAGGAGGCGCTCGATGATGCGGGAATAGTCCATATCCTGCGGGGACAAGGCTCAGCTGGCTCCCAGGCCACACCCCCTCCAGCCACAGGGGAGCCTGGCCACTCACCTTGAAGGGCTTCATGGAGTTCTGGATGGTAGGGACCATCCACTGCAAAGGAGGGCACAGCATCAGCTCCACCCAGAGCACCAGGCACCCCTCTGCACCCTCCCGTCCTGCTCCCATACCTGCTGGATCAGCCCCACCTGGAGCTGGGTGAAGAACAGCTGGGGGAGGAAGCAGAGCAGCAAACTGAGCCCCAGCATCTGGGACCACCCAGCCCCTCACACCCCCAGCCTCACCATCTCAAGTAGCCGCCGCAGCAGGAAGCGCTTTCGGATACGGGGGGAGCGGGGAAAGTTAAGTTCGTAGCACAGCGTTGGGGCAAAGAGGAAGTAGTACAGATCTGGAACGGGAGGGCAGAGCTGGCACCAGGGCCCAGCCTGCGGACCCCACCCCTGTCCCACACCTCCAGGCCAGCTGTAGGCCCCTCACCTCCATAGGTCAGGTTGTCCGGGTAGCTCACGGTGCCCGAGGGTTGGGCCGCCCCACCGTTGGCCTTCTTCCCGGTAGAAGCTGGGAGGTGGCAAGGGAAGGAAGGAGAGGGATGCACAAGGTGAGGCCCTGCTGCTGCCCAGTCCCGCCCGCCCCTGGCAGGCAGCCTCACCGGCCTTGGCCTTGGCACTAGCCCTGTGCTCTCGGCACCACAGGTTGACGTGCCGATAGGAGAACAGCTTGAGGAAGAGGATGGTATACGTCATCAGGGCCAGCACGGAGCCCACTGCAGGAAAGGCAGGGTCAGGCCGTGGCCTCCCACACCACCCACAGGAGAGCTGCGGCCAGGGGCAGCCCCTGAGGCTGGCCTGGGCTCTCCTGGGGTCCCCCCACGACCGGCTGGGATGGGACAGGTGGAATGGGGGGCACCTGGCGTGATGGACTCCAGCAGGAAGGCCACAGACGCTGGGAAGCAGAGAATAGTGGCCAGGTTCAGCCCGTGCAGCAGCAGTCCCACCTGCTCCGTCAGGGCACCCTGGGGGGTAGGGGCAACACTCAGCCAGGGCCCACTCCCTGGACCACGGGTCCCCTGGGCAAGGCTGCCAGGACGAGGGTGCAGCCCCTCCCAGGAGAGCCACACACAGTGGGGAGGGTGGCACCTGCCCTGAGCCCAGGCCTGTGAGGAGGGGACCCCTGGCCCAGGCAGTGGCATGCGGGCACTGCTTACCACCGCCAGGCGCTTCTCCACATGGAAGGCGGCCACAGCAAAGGCATTGGCCACTGAGGACAGAAGAGCACAGGGCGGTTCAGGCTCAGTAAGCCCTCCCCCACCCAAGACCCTCCTCAGTGCCCAGCTCACCAATAATCAGGCACAGGGCCGGCCAGCTGTAGGGGTCCTTCAGGAACAGAGACACCACCTGGATGGGGTCCACCAGGATGCCGTACCTGGGGGTGGGGAGATGAAGGCCTGAGCAGGTGAGGGGGGCCTCAGGGGTGGGGCCAGGGCCCTGGGGAAGACACTCACTTGATGAGGTTCTCCAAAAACAGCCGTGCATTGCTCAAGATCTGCAAGAGAGGGCGGCGCACATCTGCGGCGGGCATGGCAGAGGCTCCAGAAGCAGGGGAAAGGCTGTGGGGCTGAGCCGAGCAGTGCTGCCCGCTGCCAGGCCTCTGCCAGCCCAGCCCAGGCCTGCAATGGCTCCAGAGGACAAGGACCCCATCCCACCAGCCTCTCACCCACCAGGCAGTGCGCCCACAGCTCCCAGGGCGCCTCCTAGGACTGCGCAGGGAGGGTGTGGTGTGCCTGGGGCCTCCATAGGGGCAGCCAGGAGCCTTGGGGCAGGTGTGTCTCGGGCCGAGGGTTGAAGGCCTGGGGCCATATCAGCCCAAACAGACCCTTGTTCCCAGCCCCACCCTGCATTCTGCCCATTGAGCCCTGGACTCCAGCTGCTCCTGGGCCAGCACTGCCAGTCCCACCCCCACAAGGTGCCAGCAGGAACTGGGCCCCAGCAGCAGGGGCTTCAGCCAGGCTACAAGGTGCATTAGAGGCATTTTCCTGGGGGCACCTATGACCCGGGCTAAGGGAGAGGGACTGGGGCCCGTAGAGCAGTGGCTGGGTTGCTGTGCTGAGCCCAAAAGCCATCTTCTCAGCCCTGTTTGCCCCAGGCCAGGCCAGCCAGGGGCTCCCCACCCACGAGGGCCATTCAGGAGCAGAGGGGATTCTTCTGGGACCCCAAAACGACTCACACATGCTGCCAAGGAAGCCCCGTACCCACAGAACACCCCATCCTCAACCCCACAGCCCATCAGCCCAGGGCCAGCCACCCCTCCTGTTCACTCCTCTCTGCTCCCCAATGCCCCTCAGCCACAGCTCACAGCACAGAAGCCTCCCACACAAACCCACCAGCCACCATCCCACTCACCAGCATCACCACACACCAATTCAGGATACCACGGTAGTTGCTGAAGCCGCTGTCCGAGCTGAACAAAGAATCCTGCAGGCGGTGGCACCTGAAGGGCAGGAGGCAGTGAGAGCCTCGGGGAGGGCCACAAGCTGCCCCCCCCCCCCGATTGGGGGCAGCCAGACCCAGCCCTTCGCACTGGGCAACTCATCCCTCCCAGCCCAGCAGCTGTGTCCACTCCCCACTCCAACCCGCCCCCTGACAGTCTGAGGGGAGCCAGGCAGGGGCCTGCCCAGCCCAGGGCAACGTCGGCCAGAGCACTGTAGGCCAGACCCAGCCTCGCTCCAGAGGCCACTCGCTGCTGCCACCCACACTAGCTACGGAGTGTGATGGGTCCACAGCCAGAGTCCACCCAACAA